TAGCCTACGCGGCAGACTTGAGAAACACTTCATTCATTTATATAAATTAAAATAAAAAAATCTAGCTAGACCGCCACTAAAATCTAAATACAAAATAACCTTGTGCAAATTAATGTATAAAATGTAGTATAAAACGAGCTATTTGCATGTGAATTGAAGAAATTAAAATCGACATTAGATGTATAAATGTGACTAGCTACTATCTTGTCCACACTTATTATAAAAAGTTCCTCACTCCAGCTGCACTCATGCATGTTTCGACGCACCTACAGCGAACCTGCTAACTGTTGTAAACATTTTATGCTCTGAAAATTTTAGTCACTTACCCTTCGTTGTCTTCGTTCTCTTCCTACAATTTAAAATACAAAAATCTCATCAGTTCTATCGTCTGTATTGTAAACTATACAGTATAAATATCTACTCAAATGTGGGTCACTTACACTTTTCGATCGATTCCCGCGTCAGTTGCATGGTCAAATCAGTACTGTAGTATGTTGTTTGATAAACAAAGTGACTATATGACCGGCAGCCGGTCACGGTTTATCAAATACTAAATGGCCGGCAGTCTAGTGACTATAGTTGAATATAAAAACTTTTGTTTGCATTAACTTTTACCGAGCTTGCCGTTAGCTCATACGGCAAGGGCGCTGCGCGTGGAAAGTTAAACGCAGTTGGGGTCGGGATGTGTTTTGTCTGACTTAGCATTGTTTTTTCTTAAAATTTTTAAACTTTTTTTTTCCGACTTTTCTAACTCTCAAAAGGTTAGGGTTAGAGGTTAGGGCCTTAGGGGTTAGGGTTAGAAAAGGGTTTGGGGTTGGGGATAGGTTTATCTTATAAAAATTCAACTTTAACAATAGTTACTAGACTGCCGGCCATTTAGTATTTGATAAACCGTGACCGGCTGCCGGTCATATAGTCACTTCGATTCAAATACTTGGACTTGGTTCCTTGTTCGGAGAATTGATTTAATGTGACGAATTTACCTACCGAAAGTATAGAGTACGTTGTAACAATAATGGTTATGCTTTTGTTCACTTTATTCTTCTCAAATAGTGCCATGTGTAAACGCTTCGTTTATACCTCCAGTTACTTGGAGACCGGTTGGATTCCGGCTTTACAGTCAACTCGGCCCACTAACCAACTCGGCCCACTAACCAACTCGGCCCACCGTTCAAGGACCAACTCTGCCCGCTTGTAAACTGACTAATCTAACCACCAAACAAGCTAGGAGCCATGACTGTGTTCTATCTTTGGAAATTTTGAGAGAGATTTGAATGGTCAGTAATTTAGTATCAAAACGGACAGATCAAAAATTTGAAACTTCGATAGATTCTTTAATTAAATTAAGTCAAACTGGATGTTCTCAAACTTTACTCATCTGTATGCCTAATGCAACTGCAAATGGCTGTATTGGTTTGGTGCTATCTTTTGTGAAATATTAGCTTTCCTAATATGTCAAACAGTAGTTAACAATTAGGCCAACAGTGGGCCGAGTTGACCAGCTTCCGGATTCCGAACAGCCTTGACAGCTTGATTAAGTCATCAATCATGACTAAATATCCTAAATTAACTATATCTAATTACTATCCGTGTATTTTATTCAAATATATTTTATTCCATACCGGATACTTTTTTGAATACTTGAAGGGCTGCACGCCAAGAGCCCATACTGGAAAGTTCGTGTTTCACGCACTAAAGATTTTGCGCCGCAATTTTCACCAAAATATTGCACGCCAAGAAAGTTCTTCCAGCGAGACTAACGTGCGCCAAATGAGATTAGCAGAGACACAAGGTGAGCACTAGCCTGCGTAGCAGCAGGCGGTATTCGCGGGCACGAGAGAACGGGAAGAGGCGAGCGCTGTAGGCGCGAGCATTGTAGGGGGTTCCGGGGGCATTCTTCCCCGGAAAATTTTTGAACCTAGAGTCTCTCAAATGCCATTTCCTGGACTTTGGGGGAATATTTTGCAGAATTCTGACGGTCAGAAAAAACCTTGTTGAACAAGACGCCTGCTCAGACGTTCACACTAAGGCCCATAGCCTAATAGCCCCAATGAGGCACATATACAGCCCAATATAAAGGCACAAATTCAGCCCAATGTGGCACAAATACAGCCCAATAAGGCACAAATTCAGCCCAATGAGGCACAAATTCAGCCCAATGAGGCACAAATACAGCCCGATGAGGCACAAATACAGCCCGATGAGGCACACATACAGCCCAGTGAGGCAGAAATACAGCCCGATGAGGCAGAAATACAGCCCAATGAAGGCAGAAATATAGCCCGATGAGACAAACTATGCAGTATATAACAGCCCAAATGAGGCAAACTATGAAGTATCTAATTTACATAAATGAGCATTGTTTCCCTCGCGATTGTTCACTAAAGAGTTTGTGGCCCTGATGAATACTTCCACGAGCAACTAAAGACATAATTTATTCTTAACAAACAACTAAAGTTATACTGATATTTACTGATAGATGTGTGATCAGCAAAAAGGCAACATGTCGAATGGTCGTGACGTAACAT